CTGGAAATACTATATTTAATTTCAGTTGTCTGCTTTGATTAGTCCGACTCTTATGTCCATCGTCTTTTTATGTTGAATTGAATGTAATCTAATGTTAATTATGTTTTATGAATATGTCCTGAAGATGGTCTACTAGACCGAAACGTCTGATGTTGACATTATATTAACATTAAAACAGTATAATTGCATATTAGGATTTTTTTCTTTGTTTTTTCGTATAATTTTTTTTTATATATATATATATATATATATATATATATATATATATATATATATATATATATTATTTTAATAATATTTTTATTTAAAAAGTATTTTACATCGCGACACCGAATTTTCTATGTTTTCGAAATTTACATTTGTTGCATTATCAAGGGAAGATTTTATATATATATATATATATATATATATATATATATATATATATATATATATATATATTTTACATACGGACAAAAACAACTTGCTCACTATAAGAGCACATTCTTATTTCGATGAGGCTGCACTTTGACTGGTGACAACCAAAAAATGTTTACCAGTCGAGATGCAGTCGCATCGAAACAAGAATGCACCTTTGTAGAGAGCAAGTTTTGTCATGTATGCAAAAAAATTATAATAAATAATTATTCCTCTACCCTTGGTATTGAGCGCTCTTTTGAATTAATGCTGTCAACATTAGAATTTATATTATTTTCGTTCTCATTAAATTCGGATATATATATATATATATATATATATATATATATATATATATATATATATATATATATATATATATATATATATATATATATATATATATATATATATATAAACACACAGCTCGTCAGGAGGTATCAGCAACTGATTGCCGATTTTCTCATTTTTGTTATTTTTATATTAAGTTAAAATGCATTATTTATGAGCTAATTATTGGTATTAGGAAGATTCCTTTCGAAATTGAAAGCTAGGGGAAATGAATAAATTTCTGAAGTCTATCATAATCTCCAATATATATTTATACATTGAAATTGGCGTCTACCGAACCGGACAATCGAAAGTCTTATTAATGAAAATGTGCATCTCGAGTGGGATCGAGCCTGCGTTTTCTCTAATCAGAAGAAATCATCTTTAAGCTAGGTGTGCTTTTAAGTGCTCAGCGGAGTGTGACATCACAGCAAAGCATTAATTAATTAACCTTTTTAAGAAATACATATCTTCGTTGGGATATTAATTTTATTTCGTAACCGAAAATAATATTTTAAAATAATTAATGGCCATTAAAATTAATGAAAGAATTACATACATTGATAAGAAAATGGATTACGTTTGAAAAATATGTATTTTTCAAATACTTTTCATCATTCGTCTGTAGACATACTGATATATATATATATATATATATATATATATATATATATATATATATATATGTGTGTGCGTATATATATATATATATATATATAAAGAGAGAGAGGAAGAGATGTGTGTGTACGTGAGTAGATATGTATCTCTTTGTACGTGTGTACATGTATATATGTCTTCATATTTTTTCCGAAAATCGCATCCCAAAAGTAACTAAAAGAAAAGGAAGTAACAAAATCTCCCCGACCCAACCTTATGCATACAAACGTGCAAACATATGCAAACCAAATACTCGTATCATCTGTCATTATTAAAGCAAAATAAATAAAAGAACAACGCATTGCTATAGAAGATGGGGAAGGCGTCGGCAGGTGAAGATGACGAACGTGAAAGGAAAAAAAAAAAAAATATGAGGTAGAAAAGTTGAACGTCTTAAAAATGGCCGCCTTATCACAGAGGCGTTGAGCAATTGCCCCGTCTCTGACGAATCTCTTGTCTGTGAGGCTACAAATAGTGAACGCCTTTCACGCGGGAATCTGCAATTTTGTTCCCGCCAAAATAGTTTTAACGTCTGTTATAAAAGTGAATTGAAAGAATTCGTAAAAGTACGAAAAGAAAAAAGCAAAAACAACGGTTAAAAGTGATAGAAAAATTACAATTTCCGCACAAATCTCTTTCTAGAGTGTGGTCTTTCTTCATTGGTTTGTTTTAAGGGCTGCAATAACTCATTTTGGAGGAGTTTCCAAAAAATAAAAGTAAATCAGAAAATTTATAATTAAAAAAATTCATGGGAGAATAAAATTGCCGGAGATATTATCAATAAACTCTGACTGGGCTTCTCAAGCTAGGTAGACATTACGCTCTGGTTATCATTGCTTGTACTGTTTATTTACACCAGTGTCTAATCTATCTATCTATCTATCTATCTATCTATCTATCTATCTATCTATCTATCTATCTATCTCAGTCTTTTTCATATCTATCTATCTATCTATCTATCTATCTATCTATCTATCTATCTATCTATCTATCTTTTCGTCTGTTCCTATCTATCTATCTATCTTTCTATCTATCTATCTATCTATCTATCTATCTATCTATCTCTGTTCTCATCAGTCTGTCTATCGATCTGTCTATGATCATATTAATTTCCCTTTGTCTGCCTCGTTCTATCCTCTTTTGCATCGAAAGTCATTTTCTTTATTTGTAAATAAAAAAAAAAGAACCCAACTAGCAATCATAAAAAATGAAATTGAAAGTAAAATCATTTCTCCGTCAAGTCTGAAAGAACGTAATTTGGTTTCCTAAGAGTTCCGTGAAATTCGAGACATTCGCATGTCATCGCGTGATGAGAAAATATTGCAGTTGTTATTGTTGCAAGTAGAAAGCCGATACTTTTGGTCGCTGATAAAAATGGTTTTTTCACCGCGCTGAGATAAACGAAAAAATAAAAGAGAACTTAGTTTTGCTACTTGAAACAAGTTTGTCGGGGAAAATATTTTTTCCATCAAGAAAACATCATTCATTTGATATTAGCAATGGAACGAATGTATTTTTAATTTTTTATTGTGTAAATCTTTGCATCTCCCAAGAGAAGCAAAAATATACAAACTCCGAAGTTAAGGACGAACTTCTAAAAAAATTATTCCATTAACAATGACGGTAATGGACAATTTTCTCGGCAATATTGCAAATTACAAACTTTCATTTTTGCCACTTTATCGATTTATATCGGTTCATTTCTGTATTCAGCTACTTATATCTATCTATCTATCTATCTATCTATCTATCTATCTATCTATCTATCTATCTATCTCAGACTGTTCAAATCTATCTATCTATCTATCTATCTATCTATCTATCTATCTATCTATCTATCTATCACAGTCAGTCTGTTCATATCTATTATCTATCTATCTATCTATCTATCTATCTATCTATCTATCTATCTTAGGGAAAAACTATGGAAATCTGAAAAAGGTTTTCATTGGACGCATTTATTTCATTTCGAACTTCGTCGGACTAAAATGCTATTTACGTCGATACGACTATATTTGTGTATAAGTGATAGCGAGTGCTGTGAATGTTAAAATTGAAATTTATTTAATACACATACATACATACATACATACATACATATATATATATATATATATATATATATATATATATATATATATATATATATATATATGTATAGTCTAACTAATTTTCATTTATTTTACCTTTCTGTTCATGTTTGAAATCATTTTTTGTTTTAATTTTTCTCAAAATTGTTCTTGATATATAACATTTATATATTGTTTTCCCATATGATGTATATCTCTCTTTTTCTATCTAAATTTGTTCATCTATCTATCTATCTATCTATCTATCTATCTATCTATCTATCTATCTATCTATCTATCTATCTGTCTTGATTGAGTGATTGATTTGTTTTTTACGGTTTATCAACCTTTTGGAGTTTATTTAAAGCCGGGAAACTTTTTAGATTGTAAGAAGTTTTGGGGGAGATAATCATGATTTACTGGTACAAGTCCTACTATTTAACCCATAGCTGGGGAGATCATAAAAAATGTGGATTCATGATTTTTCCAAAAGTATTTGCGCTTAAGTAAACATAAAAAACGCTACCGTAATTGGTACTCGGAAAGGGTTGATAAACCTTATAAAACAAATCAATCAATCAAAAATATACTAAACTGGGAAAGATACAATTGCCGACATAGGTATAGCGATCTTTCGACGCAGAATTGTTTGTTTTTAGCGATTTGTTTACATAGTTTAGTCTAGCACAAGAACAAAACGATGAAAAATAGAAAGATCGTGCTGCGTCAGTATTCGAGTAAGAGCATGTGTTTGACTTAAGAATCAGTATTCCGCATCCAATTTTTTTTTATTTTGACTCGACTACCAGCAACTGGTGACGGTTGAAAACAAGCAAGTGCCTGAACCCGGTCTGTTTTATGCGTTGATGTATCAATATACCGCCACTTTGCCCCGCGTAGGGATTGAACTTACTCTTCCAGAAACTGAATTAATTGAGCAAACGAATGCTTTTCACCTTGGGGCGAGGAGTTAAAAGCTTGAGATTGTAGAGCCGTCAACTTGTGATAATCCTTCATATTCGTTTTAATACAAACACCCATGTATGTTAATAAAAATTCCTTTTTCCCAATAGGGCATTTTGATGAAAGGCACGTTTATTTCTTTTTTTATTTTTTTTTAATATCTACGTCTTATGCCAATGAAATTTCCGACAATAAATCCGGAAATAGGTTACCCTACTGGAGACAAACAAAAATATCCTTGAAGTTCACTTATCTTTCAACCATTCACCCATGCATTTTTTTCCCAATAAGCCGCTGTTTGGCATCACTTCCTTACATAATTCTCTTACGCCCTACGATCTCAAAAACCGCGCCTTTTTCCAAATTACGGTCGGAGGATGAAGAATAAAATTGGAAGAAAGTTGCCATACTCTTGGTACTGTCCACGGATTCTTATTTGTACTTAATATTATTCTTCCCTGGGGCGGGTTTTTATATAATTGTCCCAGGGAGAGCAAGAACAGTAATTCCTAGAAAACCGTACTGACAGACCACAGCTCATCTTGCGATGGAAGTAATCAGACATGTTGGCCCGCGAAATTCATTTTAAGAGATGGAATAAAAAGATAGGATAAAAGGAAAGGAAAAGAAGAACGATTGGAAAATGTCGATTATTACATAGAATATGGAACAAAGAAAAGATGAAAGACTGAAAATAAGAAGGAAAACGAAGAATAAAAATGGAATAAAAGAGAAAGGAAAAAAGAAACAGAAAAAAAGAAAGAAAAAAAGAAACAGAAAAAGAGAAAGGAAAAAAAAGAAACAGAAAAAGAGAAAGGAAAAAAAGAAACAGAAAAAGGAAAAAGAAACAGAAAATGAGAAAGGAAAAAAAGAAAGGAAAAAAGAAACAGAAAAAGAGAAAGGAAAAAAGAAACAGAAAATGAGAAAGGAAAAAAGAAACAGAAAAAGAGAAAGGAGAAAAAAGAAAGGAAAAAAGAGAAAGGAAAAAAAGAAACAGAAAAAGAGAAAGGAAAAAAGAAACAGAAAATGAGAAAGGAAAAAAGAAACAGAAAAAGAGAAAGGAAAAAGAAAAGAAGAAATGAATGTTGAAGGGGAACAAAGAAGAAAACTAAAAACGTAAAATGAAGGAATTGAATATTGAATGAAGAAGAAAATAATAGAATACAAAGGTTTACAGATCCAAAAAGAATAAACATAAAAAAGGCAAAAGTAAGAAAGAAAAGATAAACAAGAAAAAAAGAGGAAAGAAATAAATAAATAGAAAGTAAGAAAAGAAAGCGAATGAAAAATATGAAACGAAAGAAATATACGAACAAAAATGAAATGAAAGAGAAAGAATGAAAAGAAGAAAAAATGAAATGGATAAAAAAGACATATTTTTACAATGTATAAGAAAGAATAGAAGTTAAAGAAAAGAAAGAAAAACTGAACAAAAAGAATGAAATCGAAGAAAGAAGCAAAAGGTGAATAAATGAAAGAAAAACTATGAGAAGAAAAAAGAGCAAGGGAGAAGTATAAGGAAAATAGAAAGTAAAATTGAAGAATTAATTTCAAAAGATGAAATGGAAGAAATAAAGAAAGATTTACAAAAAGAACCGCTAAAATAAAATGTCTGAGAATGTAAGGAAAGGAAACATTAAAAAGGAGGAATGAAAAAAAGGAAGGAGGAAAAATGAAAATAAAAAGAAGAAAAGGAAGAAAAAGCTAAGTAAAGAAAAAAAGAAAGAAAGAAATAGAAACAAGAGAAAAAGAATGAAAATAAAAAAAAATAATGTTAATCGTTAAAATTGCGCTGTGAAAAAGACGGTCACTTTTCAGAAATAAAATTCAGAAATAAAATTCAGAAAAAAGAATGAAAATATTGCAATCAAAAGAAAAATCTTTGCGTCGACATCTTTGTGGCTTTCCTTTCTCTCTTTTCTCTCTTTTTTTATGAAGCCAAGATAAATAAATAAATTTAAGGCATTTCCGCATTTTATTTTGCGTCTATTCCTGCGTGAGTTCAAAACGAGGCTTTGCTTTCCCCAAATCCAATAGTTTAACTGACAACCTAAAAAATCTGCATCAATTTTTAATGACCGAAACGGTCAAGTATCCTATTTAGAAGACAATATGAAATATCAATCTTCTCATGTCACGCCTTTTTTATTTTTTGTTTTTTTTTTGTTACAAGGGGAGGGGATTACTTGTTCTTCTTTCCCTTATCCCTAAATATACAAAGAGCATAATATGGCTGCCGGGTGTCCACTGGCATCGTTATGAATTTATGCCATCATGTTTGACAACATTTTATCTCGTTTTTCTTCGCTCACTTAGGAGCATAGCTTTGATGGTTGGACTAAGTGATATAAGGTTCGTATATGAGATAAAATGGCATATTTATACACTGTGATCATTACCGATTTTAGAAGTACAGGGAGTTAGTGATCGGAATGCAAAATATTTACTATGTTCGGCTAGATTTCTCTTCTGAGATTAAATATTGTTATTGTTTCAGATTTTTAGGACTGATATCTCTATCTTTGTTGTTTTTTACACGTTTGAACTGATTTTGAACTGTATTTTGTCTTTCCTTGATTGTATGTTGCAGTCAGAGGACTTTAGAAATCGCTTCATTCTTTTGTATACAACATACATTTGAAGAAGGTTGAAGAGCGCGTTGGCCAAAGAGTTGTGTTAAAAACCATGAAAACGGAGAAATTAACATCTCATCCTAAAATGTGTAGGATGATGAAAATTTTTTACTAACTATATAAAGACATTTTTTTATGTTTATAAGTTCTTTTTATAGATACAAATATTTAAGCAAATGCTCTGTTTATAATAAACAGTATTAAACAACATTTACCGGCCTGAATGTCCAAGAAATTTTCATAGAAAATATGCATCCTCCGACAGGAATCGAACCTGTATCCTATACGGAACCGTCATATAGCCTGACGTGCTTTTACCGATTGATCCACGTAGGAGCGTTTCGGTTAGCAAGGTCGATTTTACTGCTTTTAAACTACAATTCTCTATCATTTTCTCTCATACATTCATATCTGCTCGATGCGTATCCAAATGTAAACAAATGATGTCACACATTATGAAATGGACAAAGTCCGACAATTACTTTAAGAAATTTTTTATGCTTATACGTTTTTTTTATAGATACAAAGTAATCATGGGGAATTGTGGTTTAAAAACAGTAAAATCGACCTTGCTAACCGAAACACTCCTCTGTGGCTCAATCGGTAAAAGCACGTCAGGCTAATGACGTTTTCATATGGGATAGAGTACTGAGGTACTATTCGAAATCAAAGTTTTGACTTGTTTTCGCGACAAAGGGGCTACAAGTGCTCAGGTATTTACCCATAGTTGAAGAGGCAATAATGGATTCATGGCTTTGCAAAGGGCATTTATACGAAGTGAACGTAAACTGTCTTAGCCGGAGTTTGAACTCGGTTCGTCAGTTCCATTTTATAAACCAGTAATACGTTAGGCTACTCTCACTACTCATACTCCGGAGGAAGGACGAAAAATATGTTGGTTGAAACGTGTTCTAAAAAGGATCGAAAATGTGTAGAATGATGAAAACCTTTCCTATTTCGAAACAAATTCTCATCTGTTTCTGCAAAGCATTCTTTCAGAAAGTTTTGGTTTGGTTGGGTTTATTTTGTTTAATGGCATATCAACCTCAATGGGTTATTTAATGCCGACAACATTTTTATGATAGATTCGTATAAATAGAATATGTATTCTTTGGTTTAGACTGGTTTGGTTTATTTTGTTTTACGGCATATCAACCTCAATGGGTTATTTAATGTCGACGAAATTTTTTATTGCTGGTAATATTTTGTTTTGTCAAAAATCTGTTTCCGGTAATATTTTTCCTTTGAAATTGTATTGCTGGTAATAATCTTTTTCAAAAAAGTATTGCTGGTAATAGCTAACTATTTTTTCCAGAGCTGGGAGCCTAACAGGTGCTACCACACAGAGTCAGGGTGGACCTGGGAACACCAGCAATTAAGAGGTGGTTCCACGCTTCTCAAAACCTTCTGATCAGAGGCCTTGCTGCTGGACTATATTTAGTCGTCCCCCGACGAGGGCGTCATGTGGCACAAGGCCTTTTTAACGTGGGCATTTCCGAGCCATTAGGCTCGGCCAAAAAATAGCCCATTTGAACCCGTATAAACGGGTTCAGGGCCGGTTTTACCTCCCCGAAGGAGACTCCGCCCTTCGGCGTAGCCTCCTTCGGGTTCCTCTCGCCCGAAAGCAGAGAGTTAAACCGAACCGTTCGCTCAGAACCGTTTGCTGCTGGACGTAGTTTATCGTCTTACCCTGGATGCGGATATAGTTTAACGTCTTACCCAGGACGGGAGAAAGTTTTGAGTCGTCATTATTCTTTTCAAATCGCTGTATTTAAAATCTTAAAATCTTTTTTCAAATTTTCACACTTTATATAGAAAAGATTTGTTGAGACTTAAATCATTTATTGAACTAGGATAAATATGACAAAAGGATTCATTTTTCGAGCTCTCAAAGATGAATAAACTCCTTTTAGGACATTGGAGGTCAGTGATATAAAAATTGATGACCCTTAAAGGGTAATTGAACGAGGTCAAATTTAGCACACGAATGCATTTCTATAGCACTCAGAATCAAATTCACAGTCAATAGCTTTCGAGATGAGCATGTTAACTGGCAATAACATATATTTCTTGAATAATCAATTCCACACTTATCTCACAGCTTCTATGAAGACACGACAGTTCAATTTTCTTCGATCGGTATTGACTGTGTTAATGCATTTTGCACCATCATACATACTTATATCGTGCCTCTAAGCCATTTGCAGCTATCTTGAGAGCCTTTTATCTGTGGCTTTAACGCAAATTAGACTCATGTTCGACGGAATTTCATGGGAATTATCCTAAGTAGATTAAAAAAGGTACTTGAGCCCATGTTACCTGGGATGAGAGTAGAGATGAGATGTAAAGCCTGTATTGCCAATAAACGAGCCACGGTGGGATACTCAGTGGATGAGATAGTTGTATATTACTTTCTACCTTAGTGGTAAATTTTAGAAACTAGGTCGAAAAGCCAGTATTTCAAATGTAAATTTTACAGGGAAGAAGGTTCATGCCATTTGGGAGATGGACTCACAATGTCTTCCTATTTTCATTTGGCATTTTGCTGGGGTATGTCAAAATAATATATTCTAGACCACTCAAACACCCGATGGATTTCTTTTAAAAACAGTTCATTATACAAAATGATAATGTAACAATATTATCAACTTTAATATTAATTATATATTTTAATTTTATTGAAAGAAACAAAAAGGTTATATTGCGTGAAAATTTGGAGTAATAGCTTAAAACAGATTTATTTTTTGTCGCATTTATTTCAAAATACGTTAAGGCTGCAAACCAGCGTGCATCTATTTATTTATTTACCGCCAAGTGTCATGAGACAAACAATATAGCCTTTTCACCATTCATGTAGTTGTTTATAAAAAGTTTCAATGTAGTGTAGCGAATTTAAATTTATTTAATTATTTATTTAATAGTGTTATTTTAATGTATTATGAATGTGTTATACCTGAACGTACCTATTCTATTATTAATAGACTCTCCCACACATAATAACATGTGCGGTAAAACCCAAAATTACCTCAGCATGAGAATAGTCTGTTTCTGGCAGATCAGCTAGAACATAGACTATTCTCATGTTGAGGTAATTTTACGATTTACAGTAAAAAATATATATGTTCTGTTATAATAAAGACATTGCACTCTCTCTGTGGATCAGTTTTTTTTATTTGTTATTACTAGGATCCACTTGGATTATATACCAATGGATCTATTACCTGTACTACACACACACACACACACACACACACACACACACACACACACACACACACACATATATATATATATATATATATATATATATATATATATATATATATATATATATATATGTCCAAGTATAGAATTGGTGTATACGGAATAAATTCCAGTAACCAAAAAATACTATTCTTAAAAGAGTGCTCAATACAGAGTAGAGGAAATATAATTATTTATTCGAAAATTATAACATAAATATGTTATAAAATCACTAGAAAAATAGCCATTTTGTTTCAACACATGGTGTTGAATTTAGAATAAAGCGTTTATTTGTTTATTCTACATTCAACACCATCACTTGATAAGACTCCAGAAGTATTGAAACAATATGGTTATTTTTGTAGTGATTTTATCACATATTTATGTTATAATTTTCGAGTAAATAATTATATCTATCTATCTATCTATCTATCTGTTTGTGTGTGTGTATGTGTTTGTGCGTGTGTGTGTGTGTATATTGTATGTTTATATAGATTTCTCACCGTTTCTGCATGTGTGCTGAACAACAGTAAACCCAGAGTTCCTCCCCTATTCAATCAATTCGAAGTCCTAACATCCACAGCTGATAAGGCTGAATGCTTTGTATGGAAATTCTCATCCAACTCAACACTTATTCGGAATACTCACACCTGACCCCCCGCCCCAGAACTGAGGCTCTCTCGAGTGAGATGTGCATAATCACGTCGATGGTATTGGACATCATCTCTAAATTAGACTCACAAAAAGCAAGCGGTGGTGACGGGATACCAGGCGTAGTTCTAAATGCGCTTTTAAGCTGGCTCTAGTTCTCTCAAAACTATACAACTATTGCCTTGTTGGTTCTTGCTTTCCAGCCTGTTGAATGTCCTCATATGTTGCCCCTGTTTTTAAGAACACTGGAAATCCTTCTGACCCATCTAACTACCGTCCTATCAATCGAATACCACTCTTCGGCAATGTATTCGAGGCATTAATCAATGCCGGAGTAGTTAAGCATTTTACCTTCCACGATCTACACCCTGACAAACAATATGGTTTCCCGCTTTGCCTGGTCAACCGCTGATGTGCTTACAGCCATAACCGAATATATATATATATATATATATATCAAGCTCTCAATAATAACCGCGAAGCTCGATCTGTGGCTCTTGATATCTCGAAGGCGGTTGACAGGGTTTGGCATGCCGGCCATCTACGTAAGCTTCAGGGATACGGTATTTCTGGACGATTATTTGATTTAATACAATTATTCCTATCAAATCGTGAAATGAAGGGTGTCCTGAACAGGTCCTCTTTAAGTTCCTTTCATACGAACGCTGGTGTTCGCCAAGGCTCTGACCTGGGTTCTACATTGCTTCTTATCTTCATCAATCATCTTCCTGGTGTCATCAGTTCGCAAGAGGACACTACCATTTACTTCTGTCTCAATGGTAAATTCGGCATTGCTGACAAAGTTAACCCGGTCATTGGTCTCGAAAATGACCTCCAAATGTAAATAGCTATAAAAATGAAAACAAAAGCGTAGAAAGTGCTATGGGGTCGGCTAGGTGATACGACTCGATGCATTAGACAGCAAACATTTTAAAGTTTTAATTTAAAGCTAAGCGATCATTATCTTCAGTGTTTCCAAATGAAAAATTGTAATCGGCGTTTGTTGTAATTGATCCACCATTCTTCCAGATCTAAAACTCCACCGATAAAACCATTATTAGTCTGAGGAACTCATTTCGAGGAACGAAAGCTATAATGTAGGAATTTTCTTTCACTTTTAGTATTCAATTATGCAATATTATCAAACACGCACACGCATAGACACATACATACTGTAGATTGGCTCGGAACTAGAAATTAAAGAATTGAGTTCCAATTGCAGTTGGAATATTTATATTCACTTACGGGCAAAATACCCATTGGGAAAGTTATGAATACACTGCTTACCCTGCAGCTATGGGTTAAATAGCATAACTTGTATCAGTAAAAATCATCATTTTCTCCAATAAATTCTCACAATCTAAAAAATGTTTCCAGCTTAAAATAACCTGCAAAATGTTGATAAGCCGTAAAAACACAAACTAATCAATGAGGCACAAACACACACACACACACACACACACACACACACACACACACACACACACACACACACACACATAAACACGTATGTGTATGTAAATATTGTTGAATGTAAGATTCTGTAACGTAATGTAATAGATGCACAAAAGAAAATTTGATGTCTAAATATAAGGTTTTCAATATATATATATATATATATATATATATATATATATATATATATATATATATATATATATATATATATAAATATATATGTGTGTATTTATGTATATAACAAAAAATGGAGTTTTGCAATCGAGTGTTTAGAAAGCGTTTTTAACGACGACAGCCATTATCGTTTCAAATTGAGCTTAAATCGTCAGCTGTGACGACTCAATTTGCCTCAAATGACGCACAGACAGGAGAAAAGCGATACTTAATCTTATGTAATTGCAGATCAAAAATGACGATTTTTAAATAATACGCAAAAGATAATTCTATTTAAATTCATTATTTTTCACATTCTTCCTCTAAAAATCTCCCTTATGTTCTCTGTTATCCACTTTGATGACATAAGCTTGCTTTTGATTCTTTGTCTTTTATTTGATGTTCATGATTTCTAATGGAGGAGGGGGAGAATATTTTTTTTTTTTTAAGTCGTTCATCTTGAATAATTTTGGCGCTCCAATTCGTTCAAAGAGAAATTAAATGTCCAAGGAAATATTGGTCTTTGGGGAATACTAAAATATTCGTTTTAATTAGACGTGAACAAGAGGGAAATTAACTTCAATGCCGTATCAAATTACAATAAAAAATGATTATTAGAACATATTTTAAGATAAATGACTGCTAAATGTTAAGTATTCATTGTTCAAATGTATATTTTCTATCTATCTATCTATCTATCTATCTATCTATCTATCTATCTATCTATTGTATATATGTGGGCTACTGAAAAATTGTGCACCGACTAACAATTAATTCCAAAAATTCTGATGTTAGGTCATTTGGTTAAATTTTGGGCCAAACGAGAACTTTTAGTCTTTAAATATATGACATGTATATTTACGCGCATCTTTGAATGGTTCCAGATTTACGAAGAGAAAACTTTTTGAATCTTACTTGCCGATTTCCATCATATTTATATGAAGTCAAATCTATAAAGGTGTTAGCATTGTAATATTTGACACACTTTGTATTCTACTTCACATACGACGATGGTCTTTCTATAACCAATTATAATATGGCATTGCATTGAGAAAAAAGTAGACATCCGTCTATCTTGTTTGCTCAAAATTCAGTCCTTTGGTGGGAAAACTGGGTGACCTCTTCAAATCGCAAGCCAAGACGATGCGGGCAGTACATCTATGCCTGGCTTGGCTGCAGGAATTGCCGGAAGTCTGTTAGCATTGACAGCTAACTGCCTTCGGGCTCCACTCCAAATTTCTGTCTGTATTAAAAAAAAAAAACTGGCGTCAAAATATGCTGGTGTCGATTCTGACACCTCATCTTTTTTCGTGTCAAATCTTCGAATTTTTCTAAACGTAAATCAAAGATTAAACTCGTCATATTAATTTTATTTTATTTTTTACTCGCTTGAAAATTATGCGGATAACAAAGTTCTTTTTAAAAGTAGAGAATGAGGCTTGTGGCCTTGAGGTTCGTCGTCTTTCGGCCAAAGTCTGAAACACTGATAGATTTTTGCTGGAGATGTCGATTTTGAAGTTGTATTAGTGTAAAATGAAAATAGCATCTAAAGAAAGAATTTGCCTGTAATCATGAAAATTCGTTCAAGTCTCTGGCATAACGATGGGAATCTAATTTTTATGACATTGCTTTATGAATCACGTGGAATGAAGATGCAATCGAAGGATAATTA